CTCCCATGTTGGAGTCATTTCCAAAAACAAGGCTGCTGTGAGCAGTGACTCCACCCCGGGGGAACCGGGGGGGCCTCTTTCTGAAAAAAAAAAAAAAAAAAAAAAAAAAAAAAAAATTTGAACAAAATAGTCTCAGGGAAGGCTCCGAGAGGCCATGCTTGGGTCATGCACTCAAATCTCTAGCTGTGGGAGGGGCAGGAGGGATGGGCTGTTCTGCTTGGCCATGTGTGGTCATATGACTACCAGGAGCCAGGTCCTCATGTGGGTAGAGATGATTCTCCATGGGGAGGGTCAGAGGTGCTGGATAAGCAGAAGGAAATAACTGGAGATAAAAATTAGACTGAAAAAATAATGCTTCACCAAAAGCCAATGTTAAGGGGCCTTTCTCTTCAGGCACTTGGCCTGGGAGAGGACTGGAAGGTGGAGAAGGGGATATCAGCAGGTGGAGGGCAGAAGGTCCGGCTGCTGAAGAAAGCTCTGGAGAAGCACGCAGACAAGGAGGACCTGGTCATTCTCTTCACCGACAGGTAGGTGGGCTGGGGGCTTCCTGGCCTGGGTCCCCCAACAGAGAGATAGAAGAATATTCTAAAGGAAGGCCCGCACAGAACATGGGGGTGGAGGTCACTCCAGCTAAGGTTGCCTCCAGTCTTAGGGGGTCTGTGAACCTCAGGATGAGACCCTCTGTTATAGCGCATTCCCAGTCTTGGTGAAAAGATGGAAGGGAGTGGCAAATGATGCTTTGAGTGTGAGGAGAATGTTGGTTATGGGGACCATTTCTGCCCAGGGTGGAGTGGACACATGGCAGGTAGGGCTAGTGGGGCAGACCCATTTCCCAGATAGGAGCCCAGGGCTGGCATGGGAGGAGGGGGACTTGAGAGTATGACCCCAGTCCCTCCTTCCTGTGCCCTCCCCGGGGTCCTGCTCACCTCTGCCCTGCCCCTTCTTCCCCTTGTTCTGGCCACAGCTACGACGTGCTGTTTGCATCAGGCCCCCGGGAGCTCCTGAAGAAGTTCCGGCAGGCCAGGAGCCAGGTGGTCTTCTCGGCCGAGGAGCTCATCTACCCAGATCGCAGGCTGGAGGTCAAGTATCCGGTGGTGTCCGATGGCAAGAGGTTCCTGGGGTCTGGAGGTAAGAGGCCCATCAGCAGGACCCATCTACTGCCTTCATGAGGACCCCCTACCCCTGACAGTCACATGGGTGCCTCACAGGTCTCCAGTGCAGAATGTCCTGAGCAGGGCTCCTGGGTTTTCAGCCACAAACCTGCTCTTCGTGCAATCTTCCTCATCTCATGAAGCAGCCACTGCCCGCACATGGGAAGCCAGGAGTCCCTTGCCCTCTCTGGTCTCCTGTTCATCTCAAGTCACATTCCTACTGCTGCTTCTTTTTTTTTTTTTTTTTTTTTTGAGGCAGGGTCTTTCTCTGCCCCCCAGGCTGGAGTGCAGTGGCACAGTCACAGCTTACTGCAGCCTCAAACTCCTGGGCTTAAGCCATCTTCCTGCTTCAACCTCCCAAGGTATGCCACCGTGCCCAGCTAATGTGTTCTATTTTTGTAAAGATGGAGTCTCGGCTTAGTGCCTATGGCTCAAGTGGCTAAGGCGCCAGCCACATACACCTGAGCTGGTGGGTTCGAATCCAGCCCAGGCCCACCAAAAAACGATGGCTGCAACAAAAAAATAGCTGGGCGTTGTGGCAGGCACCTGTAGTCCCAGCTACTTGGGAGGCTGAGGCAGGAGAATCGCTTGAGCCCAGGAGTTGAAGGTTCCTGTGAGCTGTGATGCCACAGCATTCTACCCAGGGCAACAGCTTGAGGCTCTGTCTCAAAAAAAAGAAAGATGGAGTCTCACTGTATTGCCCAGGCTGGTCTTGAACTTCTGGCCTCAAATCATCCTCATACCTTGGCCTCCCAAAGTGCTGAGATTACAGGCATGCGCCACCATGCCAACCTAATTTTTTCATTTTTTCCTTTCTTTTTTTTTTTTTTTTTTTTATTATTGAGACAAAGTTTTACTAAGTCACCTTCAGTAGAATGCCATGGCGTCATAGCTCACAGCAACCTCCAACTCTTGGGCTTGGGCTCAAGCAATCCTCTTGTCTCAGCCTCCCGAGTAGCTGGGACTACAGGCACCTGCCACAATGCTCGACTGTTTTTTTAGAGATGGGGTCTTGCTCTTGCTCAGGCTAGTCTCCCGAGCTCAGGCAGTCTCAGAGCTCAGCCTCCAAGAGTGCTAGGATTATAGGCATGCACCACTGCATCTGGCTGGCACCAAGCAGTTTAGTATCCACCATTGGTCTTTCTCTGTGGGGTATGTGGGAGCATATCCGTGCATGGTATTAACTGGCAGGCCTGTTCCCAGACTGCAGGCACACCCATTAATCCAGGAGGACTTCTGGGAGGAGGCAGGGTTTGTGGGTAAGGGAATGAGAGGTAGATGACAAGAGAGGGTGGGAAGAGGACTCTGGCTTAGAGGCAGGAAACTAAATGTCTGTCCTGGTGTCCCCGTCCACCAATCCCCAGGCTTCATTGGTTATGCTCCCAGCCTCAGCAAACTGGTGGCCGAGTGGGAGGGCCACGACAGCGACAGCGATCAGCTCTTTTACACCAAGATCTTTTTGGATCCAGAGAAGAGGGTAAGAGGCAGCAGGCAGACCTGGAGAGGGTGGGAGATCCTGACTGTGGATCCTGCCAGCTAGGCTGCATGGGGACAGTCCCACTGGCTTGAACCCATTTGGGGTGCTCTGACAAACTACTAGGGAGCCTAGAAACAGAAGTCACTCATTCCCCGCAGTTCCGGAGGCTGGAAGTCTGAGATCTGGGGGCCCGTATGCTCAGGTTCTGGTCAGAGCCTTCTTCCTGGTTCAGAGACTCTGACTGTCCTCTCTAAAAGTGGCTGGGGAGCTCCCTGGGGCCCCTTTGACAAGTCACTAATCCCAATCACCAAGCCTCCACCCTCACGACCTTATCACTTCTCAAAGGCCCCGCCTCCCACAGTTCCCATTCATTCATCGATTCATTCATTCATTCAGCAGCTATTTATTGAGGGTCTAATGTATGCGAGATATGATGTCAGGTATGGGGGGATGTTGCAGTGAACAAGCCAGTGGGGGCCTCTGCCTCTGTGGACTCTCATTCTAGTCGGGGAGGTGAGGGTTGTACAGTCTCACATCAGGCAGGAGTCGACAGGCTGAGCTGGCCCTCTTTCATCCTGCCTGGGGTGGGGAGGTGCTGTTGAGAATTTGGCTGGACCTGGACACCAAGAAGCCAGTCAGCCAAGCCTGTCATGAGGCAGAACCAGGGCAGTCCCAGACCGGCCAGACAGGAGACTCAGGGAGCCCTTACAGATCAGGATTCTTGGATTCTGCCCTGCTTACTCCCCTACCCTCAATCTTTGTGTTGTGTGACCTTAGGTAAGTTACTTCCCTTCTTTGGGCCTCTGGCTTTTATTAGTCATAAAATGAGGCAGCAAGATTTATGCAGTGGAAACTATCAACTTGATCTTTTTGTTTGTTTGTTTGTTTGTTTTTAGAGACAGTCTTACTTTGTTGCCCTCAGTAGAGTGCCATGGTGTCATAGCTCACAGCAACCTCCAGCTCTTGGGCTTAGGCAATTCTCTTGCCTCAGTTTCCCAAGTAGCTGGGACTACAGGCACCCACAAAGATGCTTGGCTATTTTTTTTTTTTGTAGTTTGGCTGGGGCCGGGTTTGAACCCACCACCCTTGGTATATGGGGCTGGCGCCCTACCCACTGAGCCACAGGTGCCACCCGAAACTTAATCTTTTTGTTAACTCAGTTCTTCTTCCTCCTTCTCTTCTGCCTCCAGGGCTGTCATTCACAGTAGCCCAGGGTCTAAAATGTGAAAGTGGACCTGCCCTGTATGGCCTGGGGGCTAATCCTGGAGTACCACTCACCCTGTCCTAGAGCTCCATGAGACACAGTTGAGTATTTTTTTTGAGACAGAGTCACAAACTGTCGCCCTGGGTAGAGTGCCGTGGCATCATAGCTCACAGCAACCTCCAACTCGGGCTCAAAGGATCCTCTTGCCCCAGTTTTTCTATTTTTAGTAGAGACAGGGTCTTGCTTTTGCTCAGGTTGGTCTCAAACTCATGAACTCTAGCAACCCACCCACCTTAGCCTCCCAAAGTGCTAAGATTACAAGCATGAGCCACTGCTCCCAGTGCACACAGTGGAGTCTTATTTTTATTTTATTTATTTATTTATTTATTTGAGACTGAGTCTCACTTTGTCACCCTTGGTAGAGTGCCATGGTGTCATAGCTCACAGGAACCTCAAACTCTTGGGCTTAAGCAATTCTCTTGCCTCAGCCTCCTAAGTAGTTGGGACTATAGGTGCCCGCCACAATGCCCAGCTAGTTTTTGGTTGTGGTTGTCATTGTTGTTTGGCAGGCCCAGGCTGCATTCAAACCCGCCAGCTCTGGTGTATGTGGCTGGCGCTCTAGCCTCTGAGCTACAAGCGCCGAGCCTTATTTTTTATTTTTATTTTATTTATTTATTATTATTATTTTTTAGAGACAGAGTCTCACTTTGTCACCTTCCGTAGAGTGCTGTGGCATTACAGCTCACAGAAACCTCCAGCTCTTGGGCTTAGGCGATTCTCTTGTCTTAGCCTCTGGAGTAGCTGGATTACAGGAGCCCGCCACAACGCCTGGCTGTATTTTTATTTTTATTTTTTGAGACAGTCTCACTTGGTCACCCTTGGTACAGTGCCGTGGCGTTTTAACTCACAGCAACCTCAACCTTTTGGGTTCAAGTGATCCTCTTGCCTCAGCCTCCCAAGTAGCTGGAACTAAAGGTGCCTGGCACAATGCCTGTCTTTTTTTTTTTTTTTAAGAGACAGGGTCTTGCTCTGGCTCAGACTGGTCTTGAACCCGTGAGCTCAGGCAGTCCACACATCTCAGCTTCCCAAGTGCTGGGATTACAGGCATGAGCCACCAAACCTGGCCAGACACAGTTGAATCTTAAAGATGCAACATTGTCCTGTGGTTAAGAATAATGACTTCGGCTCGGCCCCTGTGGCTCAAGCGGCTAAGGCACCAGCCACAGACACCTAAGGAGGCAGATTCGAATCCAGCCCAGCCCGCCAAACAACAATGACAGCTGCAACCAAAAAATAGCCAGGCGTTGTGGCAGGCGCCTGTGGTCCTAGCTACTTGGGAGGTGGAGACAGAAGACTTGCGTGAGCCCAGGAGTTAGAGGTTGTTGTGAGCTGTGATGCTATGGCACTCTACCCAGGGGGACAGCTTAAGGCTCTATCTCAAAAAAAAAAAAAAAAAAGAAGAATGACTTTAAGGGCCAGGTTTGGGCATTGTGGTGGGCACCTGTAGTCCCAGCTACTCTGGAGGCTGAGGCAAGAAACTTGCTTGAGCCCAAGAGTTTGAGGTTGCTATGACACCACAGCACTCTATCGAGGGTAACAAAGTAAAACTCTGTCTCCAAAAAAAAGAAAAAAAAGTACAGAATAAGGACTTCAGGGCCAGGCTGCCTGGGTGCCAACCCCAGCTCAGCTGAGTACTTATTAGCTGTGTGACACTGGACAAGTACTGGGCAGGTTACCTAACTTCTCTGTGCCTTGCTCCCCCCACCACTTATAAAATACAATAAAGTAATGAGAGTACTTTCTCATAGGGACTTCACAGAGATGAAATTGATGAATGCACACAGCACACTTGGACTAGAAAGGGCCTGTAGTAAAGTGCTGCTAAGTGTTTGTTACCATCATGGTTTTCGCCTTTGTAGTTGAACTAGCTTGTTTCTTATATTCCTTCCAGTTCTGAGCTTGGTTCCCTGTAAATAGATCCACTAGACCCATAGGTCCCAGGGGCTCCTGGCTGGCTTTTTCAGGGCTCCAGGCTGAAGTGTCCTGTTGTGACAAGGCAGTACAGGCATGAAATGAGGGGCAGAGGTGCGGTGACCGGCTCCTCCCTGAGCGTGATGGAGCTCCGTCTTCTGCCTGGGCCTGTCCCTGCTGCAACCTGGTGTTCTTCTTCCTGCAGGAGCAGATCAATATCACCCTGGACCACCGCTGCCGTATCTTCCAGAACTTGGATGGAGCCTTGGGTGAGCAATCTCCACCAGGAGGGGTGGGATTTTGAGAGGGGTGGTAGGAAGGAGATATGGATTCCAGGCAGGATTGGAACCCAAGAAAGAGAACTGGGCTGGTTCCTCTGTAGCCATTGAGCTAGGAGGTTGCTGGCCTCATATCCTGGTTCCCGGGACCACCTGGATGTCCTGGGGCAGTGCTGTGTCTCTCCAGGGGTGGGGAGACAGGGAGCACTTCAGCCTGGGAGGGTCTGGGTGGTGCACACCGCATATACCAGACCCCCTGCCCTGCACGCTGGGTCCTCACAGATGGGCCCCCTTCTCCTCCTTCCCTGGCCCTCCCACTTCCAGGTGAAGGATTCCTGGGCTAGGAGTGGGGACTGAGCTAGCTGGGAACTGACAGGCAACTCCGGAGGTAGGAAGGCCAGTTGGCCCTCAAAGCCACAAACACCCCAGGCCTCACTGTATGTCCGTAGCTGGTGATGATGTTGGTTTGCCACAGGGCTTCCTGGGGGTCCTTAAGCAAGTCACTCCTGCCCTTTCAAGGTGTGGGGTGGGGGCTCAATTTTCTTATCTTTTTTTTTTTTTTTT